ATTTTCTTTGTCCAAAACAATCAATCTATATAAACCTGAATTTTGATATTTTTGAAGTGAGATTAAGAAGAAAATCAAGAAGACTAATGATAAGTAGAAGTAAAATACAATTCAGTATGCTTCAAAACAACATAAATGTTAAGTGGTAGTGGAAGCAGACGATTGAATTGTATAAATGAATAATTCATCTCTCTTCACTTATCTCTTACAATATAATTCATCTTCATTCCTACATCTATTTCTTAAATTGTAAAAAATAACGGAATAAATTATTTGTTCTACATTTTTTTTTTTTTTTTTGGACAAAGGCTTGATTTCATTCAGTTACGATAGGAACCAAGTACAGAGAAGGATTCTGAGATCCCAATGTTTACAATACAACCATAAAGGGCATTCCCCAATGCCAACATAAGACTGAGAAAATGATAGATAAGGTTAAAACACAAGAGTTCCGTGAGAGCTTTGAGCCAAAAGCTAGGTAGCTTTTTGGTACATGTGAGATCAAAGGTTATCGACAATTCTTCCAAGAACGAGTCAATAGATGAACAAATAGCCACAGTCAAGAGACCAAGTGGCATTGAAGAAGGAGCCAAAGCCGTGAATCTCGCCGGCACGAGAAAAACTACACGAGGTAGTGCATTGACACGGGATCGAGCAAAGAAGATGGTGATCTGATGCTCGAGGTTGTATGCTAGAGTTGTCGTGGATTGAGAATTTAGCTTAGACAAAACATAGCATATGAAAGCTAGAGCCAGGATTCGCAGAGGATGGGAGAAAAACCGTAACAGAACAGGTGGATCCTCTCTCACATGAACATGGAGATTAAGAATGTCACACAAAGTTTGTCTTCGGCTTGATACATGAAAAAGGCAACCAGACCTGAGCTTCAAGCTTTTACATGAAATAAAGTTATCCCTGAAGTTGATGATTTGCACATGAATGGGCTTGGTTATCAGGGGATATGGGGATAGAAAGTTGAGGAAGCTTCGGTAACCACCGCTCCTTGGAGACGAGGTCATAATGCCGTTCTTCCTCATACTTCTTGTTTCATGAATAATAACCTTAAGGTTCTTGATTAGCACTTGATTTGCCTCGGTATTCAGAGAAACCGGAAAAGAGGGATTGAAAAAGCTTCGGTAATCACTGCTCCTTAGAGACGGGATCATAATGCCGGTCTTCTTCAATCTAAAAACTTCAATAATCATACTTTTTATTTCATGACCAGTACTCCTATGTGAATCTAGTGGCAGGGTTCTCACAGAGATTTTGATCAACCATAGCAACAATGATGTATATCGTTCTAATTGCAGTCCTTGAACAAATGGTTTCGATAAACGACAAAGAGATTGACTAGGGATGAACAAAAAGAAATTTGAGCAGACATGGGCTTTTGCAGATAGTGGATTGGATTACACCTTCTAGACTTGGGCTGTAGGGGCCTTAATGGGCCGTAATTAAAAGTGCCCACCAATTGTAACCCTAATTTCACTTTGGCAGGCTGGTGCACATGTGCGTGGTGGCCGTCGTACGCAGATGGTAAGAGGTTTTGCGGCGAAGCAAACATCTCCGGTGAAGCTAGGTTTGACAATTTAGGGTGATGGTCGAGATTCGAAGCAAAGGATGAGGACCAGAGAAATTTGGCCGATTCGGGGAAGGAAATCTGATACGGCAAAGGTGATGCAAGCTGAGGACGAAAGATGGAGATCGCCGGCCACAATCTTCTCCCTTTGATTTTGGTTGTTGAAGATCTCACCAGAAGCCTTAGATTCGAGAGGATTCGAAAGGGATTCAAAAAGGGAAAAAATTTTGCTAACCAAAAAGAAAAGATAGAAGATGTAGAGTGAAGAAGAGCGAGTTGGGCAACAGAAAATTCCCGACGCCAGTGAGATAAAGCTCCACCGGCGCCGGAATGCATGGTCGCAAAAGGAGTATTATTATTTGTTATACATTTCTCAAAAAAAATTATGCTTTTACAAGTAGCATAAAATAGTTATTTTATCGTCATTTATGTGATTTTAAATATTTTCATTAAGTAGATAAACAACTTCGAATCAAGTTGTATCAAAATATAACGGTAGACTCAATTCAAAATTCAGCCCAAACCCTATATGTATAACATTTGGTTATGATATTTGCATTAAGTAGAAAATAATAGAAAATTTGTTATATTACCATTATATTTAAATTCTTTAAAATGCAACAATATCTTTTAAAATTGGATAAATTTAGAATATCAACTTTACTATTATAATATAAATTATAAATTGAAAACGATGTAACTTAATTTTCATAGTAGGGTTTAATATTTTCACATTTTAACAAAATAAGTATTATTTATGTATACGTATTATATTACTATAATCATTAATTTATCATCAACACTCTTTAAATTTTTAATTGGCATCAAATATTGTATTGATTAAAAGCAGTAATAGACTCTTAATTATTTTTTTTTTAAAACATAAATATCATTGTATATAGATGAATACAATTCAAATTTTATAAAATAAAATCGAATTTGAACTTACTGTCATTCATTTATTTATTTTCTCTTAAATTTTAAATTCAAACAAAAAATAAGTAAAATAAATAGCAAACATATAACATAGTATGCAACAAACGGCGAGTATCGCGGCTAAATAACCTAGTATGGATTAAGGTTTAGCTTTTACAATTAAACTAAATTATATGTCGGTTTGGGTTTATAAAATAGCGATTAGGGTTTAGATTTTACAATTAAACATAATTATATGTCGATTTGGGTTTATAAATGAGGTTTAGGGTTTAGATTTTATAATTAAGCAAAATTATATGTCGGTTTAGGTTTATATAAGAGTAGTTAAGGTATAGATTTTTAATTAAAGGTTTAGATTTTTAATTAAATAAAATTATCTGTCGGTTTGGGTTTATAAAAGAGTGGTTAGGGTTTAGATTTTACAATTTAATGAAATTATATGTCGGTTTTTGTTTATAAAAGATGTTAGAGTTTAAATTTTACAATTAATTCAATTTAGGGGGTTTTTATGAATTTATTTATTAATTAATTTAGATAATATTAATTATTTTAATTTATTTAATTAGATGACATGAGAAATTCTAATTGGTTAATTAAAAGGGGGTGAATGAAAGATGTTCACCCCTAGGGGTCCGCCACCAAAAAAAAAATTAAACTCATTTAATTATAAAATCTAAACCCTAACCACTCTTTTGTAAATTCAAACCGATTTTCTGAGGCGGCCACGAAGCGGTGGGTCTTGAATCTGCCAGATTTAAGGCTCCGGTTGCTCTGCAAGCGTGTAACAACAAGGGGCGAGCTTTTCTTCTTTTTCCGGCGAGATGCCGATTTGCCTTTTTGTAACTGGATCGGTTTGTGTGTAGGCTTCGGCCCAAGCCCGTTAGGGATTTTCTAAAAAAAAAAATAATAATAATTTCAAACCGATATATAATTTTGTTTAGATATAAAATCTAAACCCTAATCCTTCTTTGTAAACCTAAACCCTAATCTAAACCCTAATCTAAACCCTAACCTAAACCCTAATCTAAACCCTAATCCTTCTTTGTAAACCCAAACCGATATATAACTTCGTTTTGGTGGCAAATCCTCTTTTATAAACCCAAACCCACATATAACAACATTTAATTATAAAATCTAAACCATAATCCACATTTGTAAACCCAAACCAACATATAATTTTGTTTAATTATAAATATAAATCTTAATCACATTTTATAAACCCAAACCAACATATAATTTTACTTAATTGTAAAATCTAAACCCTAATTCACATTAATAAACCCAAACCGACATAATTTATTTTATTTAATTAAAAGTATACAGATTTTTGTTTTCTTAATTTTTTTTTTGTTTTCTGATTTTAGTTTTGATTTATTTTTAAAGAAAGTATTACATGGCATAATATTGTATTTTGATTGGCTAATTAAGTGGGGGTGAATAAGAGAGGTTCACCCCTAGAGGTAAACCCAAAAATTTTCATTTTATAATTAAATGAGTTTATTTTTTATTATTATTCTGATTTGTTAGAAAAAGGGGGTGAATAAAAGAATTCACTCTTAGGAGTGAACCCAAGTATGTTTCTTATATGGCGGGATGAGTTTGAATCAACATTAATAAAAATTTAAAATATTATTAACCCGCCTCTTCAACACGGCTTAAATCCTTAATTTATTATTTTTTAACACCACCAATATTAGACATATCAAATCAAACTGATTTAGATAAGATTGTATAAAACCAAAAATGTCTCGTGGTATACTTAATAACAATTGTAAACTATAAAATATAAATGTTTTATAATATGATACAATTTACAAACTTTTATATATAATAAATAATCACTAAATTTTAAAATCACTATGGATACGACGGCCGAATAGGTGTCATGGAAAGGCTACAAACTGGTCTTATCTCTTTTATTTCTTTTCCAAAAATAGAAGATCAAATGGTGCCGTTTATTTATAATCTTCCCAAGTACTTTTCGCAATATTCTCTCCTTTTGTGAAGAACTTCGGATTGAAAAAACTTTCATTTGTCTAAGACAATACTATAGTTTTGTCTAAGTGTGCTTTGTTTTGTTTTAGGCTCATTTGTTTCTTTTTCTGGCCCATTTACTTTAAGATGACAAAAATAATGTTGGATTACACATTTTTGTGGTTTTACTTTTATGCCCATAATAAATTTTAGTGAACCGAATCAAAACCAAATAAACCGGAAAAAATGTTAATTTGGTTAAATTCGAAATCAATTTTTCTAAAACCGAATAACCCGACCCGTTTAACCCGAAGACACTGTATGCCTAGGACTACGCACTACGTGCGGGTACTCATCGAGTCTTTTTAAAAATAAACAACGCCAAGAACGATAGCTTTCAATTTCTGTTTAAACACACCACCCAATAACAAGTTAATGTAACGCACCACCTAATCCTTTAAACGACATCGTACCAAACCTCTCTTATCAACCCACCACAACATTATTACTGCCACAAATTTCAAAATCCCTAAAAAGTCACCAACAATGGCGGAAACCGAGACAGAGACGATCACCACCACCACCACATCTCCACCGGCGATCTCAGAAACCGAAACCTCCACCACATTACCAACAATGGAAACAGAGAAGAATCCAAATCCAGTAACCATTTTACTCCGAATCTGGCCACCGACTCAAAAAACTCGCGACGCCGTCATTAACCGTCTGATCGAAACACTATCAACCGAATCAATCCTCTCTAAGAGATTCGGAACTCTCGAATCTGAAGAAGCTTCCTCCGTCGCGAAATCAATAGAAGACGAAGCTTACGCCGTCGCTTCCGCCGCCGTGGTTAGTGATGACGACGGGATCGAGATTCTTAAAGCTTATTCTAAAGAGATTAGTAAACGTATGCTTGAATCTGTGAAAGCTAAGACTAATGTGGCTTCTCCTACACCAAAGGATGGTGATGGTGTTGAATTAGCTGCAGATTCAAGTGAAGATGTTAAAGATGATGATGCGAATCCAAAGCTTGAGGAGGCTTGAATATGGTGTTGTTCTCTTATCTCTAATTATCTTTTAAAAAATTATTTTCTATGTTTAGATTCGTATGAGATTATCTTTGTAGTGTGACTTGTTGATTTCGCATTTCTTACTAATATGATTGTGCTTTTTCTTAATCATGGTAATTAGCTTGAAACTTCAAGCTTGAATATAGAAAACCAAAAACAAAACGAAAAAATTGGATGATTTTACTGTCTTAATCATGGTAATAACCTCGGCAATTGAATGATTTTGCTGTCTTAATCATTGTAGTTTACTCGAGTATGCTTTTTTAATTATGGTAATTAGCTCAGGCTTGAATATATAAAACCAAAAAGAATATAAAATAAATTTGGATGATTTTGCTGTTTTAAGCATGGTAATTAACTCGTTAATTGAATGATTTTGCTTGCATATTCATGGTAGTTTACTTGTTGATTAGATTTGCTGTCTAAATCATGGTAATTAATTCGTTAATTGGATGATTTTGCTTTCCTAACCATGGAAATTAGCTCGAGGCTTGAATATAGAATCATGGTATTGAACTAAAAAAAGAATGAATGATATTTGCTTTCTTAATCATGCTCTTAACTCGTTAACACATCTCCATTTTGACACATTCGTTAGAGATCACATGAATCGAGAAACTAGACAGTCTTTGTGAGATAAATAGCTTTAATATTACGGTTGTGATGACTAATGTGACAATTAAAACATTTCTCCCCTTACTTTGGTTAATTCTTTTGACGTTTGGGTTAGAAGCATTAGCATGTTGCCATTATAAGTTTATAACTCAAGAGCTGTTATAAATTTGAAATTTGTTCATGTGCATTGGGCTGACAAATAGTTTTTTTCTTGGAACTAGAAATCTGCCTTTGATGTGTCCTGACTCTTTCTTTGTCTTTTATCTTTATTGGTTTTGGAGCCTTGGAATTTGAGAGTTAGATTTTGAACCCCACTTTTTTTGTTTTTTTATAAGAAATGAAACTCTGGGCAGTGGTCACCTAAATATTCCTTTATTGTTCCTCCTTTTGATACAAGAGTTCCTCTGGGCAGTGGTCACGTGATCCCGAATTTTGGTTTTGGTTGATCACAAGCTAATACTTTCATATCAGTTTCTAAGTGTGGGCATGGGAGGGAACTTATGAACTACGGAAAATCCATTACCCGACCCGATTCTTATGAGTAATAAACTTTTAGGGGGTGTTATTGGTTTGTGATTTAAATAGAGTTTTAGTGACTTTAAATGTTATGTAGAATCTGTTGTTATTCAATCAAGATTTTTAAAAAATCTGTTAAAGTTTGGTGTTATTAGTTTAAGATTTGTAAAAAATAATCTAAAATCTTTATAAATCTAGAGTTATTGGATTCATACTTTTATAAAGTCATTAAAAGTTTTGTGTTATTCAATTACAACAACAGAATCTATGATTGTTAATGAATTAAATTATTATGTTATTGGTTTATGACTTTCTACACTTTTTTTCACAAAACAAAGTCATGAAAAGTATCATTAAAATAGAGAGATTGTTTGGGAAACTTTACAAGATTATGAAATACTAATCAACAAGATTATAGAAAACTCTCAAAAACTCTCCAACAATAGTTTAGAATCTTTCATTTGTTTACTTTCTATGATTTTATTAAAGTCATCAAAATTCCATGTAAATTAGGAACCAATAACACCCCCTTATTAGTTAGTGTTCCGGATTCAAATCATTTTTTGGTTGCCAGCTTACTCTAAGCTAGACAAAATTCACTCTTTCAAAGTTATTAGAAAGATAATAAAATAATCCTAATCTTTTTATTTTGTTCAAACCAATCCTCCTATCCTATGGGAATGCTTTCCTAAACTCTTAGTCTCTTACCCATATCCGATTTAAGAAATATATGTATCCGGATAAACATATAACCTTTAAAAAGATGACAAACATGTTACCTTTACAGTTCCAAATAACCAACAAATAGGCAACTCAAGGGAACATATGGCAAGATTCAACCCATACACCGTGATGGAAACTAATCATATGCAAGCTAGTTAGCAGTCGTGCAATTTCAATCTAAGAGATGTTCCTAGTAGCTCGATACCAAAACCGACTTTGGTAGTGGTTCCTATAAGGATTTGTGGTGTTATCTTCACAAGGTGTCTATGTGACGTACTCAGGGGCTGGGAGTAGCTTGATGCCAGTTAGCAATGCCCGACAACTTGGGATAACAAATTCGATGCCACCACGATACACGATTACGACATATGTCTGACTTCGATGCTTCCACTTGTCACACATGTATCTGGCTCTACTTTGATGGACGGTCGAGATTAATCCGGAGAAAACCCTAAAAACGGAGCTTGGTCCTCTCTCCACCTATAAATACAAGCCTTTAGTTCATCATAAAGACTGTTCAAAAAAACTGCAACACTTAACGAAAACGTTTGTAGGCAAAGGGAGAGAAACCGAAACTCCGACTTAAAGATTAAGCTTTCGTCTTCCATCAAGAAACCGTTCAGGAAGACTTTACCGCTACAATGAAAGAAAGTATTCCGCTAACCCTCCTTATGTATCTATTAAGTGATTAATTCAGATGTTTAAAGATCTTGGGGGTTATGTAAGTTTCACTTACAACTTAATCCCGTTACATTAGTATTACTAATAAGATTATTAGATCAATCAAATAAAGTTGGATTAAACCTTGAACATAAAACACTTATGTATAAGAATGTGATCTCCAGGTGAATTGATCGCCAAATCCGGGACACTTTTCTAGCCAAAAAAGGAATATAAAAGGCTTCAGAAACCTTCTTCAGACTTGGTTTATGTGGCATTAAACTATATGCTCTCTTTAGGCTAATCCTTTTTTTTGGTGGCAAGGTATGCATCTAGTTGGTTGATATATCATGTTTTTTACGACTTTAACCATGATACAAGTATTGTTTTTAGAGTCTTTATATTGTTTCTAGAGTATTTTCAGGTTTATGCACATTCGAGACTTATTTGAAGATTTTGGAGCATTATAGAGCAAATTCGAGAAATTGTGTTGTCAAGATCAATTCGGAGAAAATCTTGGGTGTGGGTGTCGATCGACACCACCCATTGGTGTCGCTCTACACCGGTCGTCGCTGAAGCTAAAGACAAAATTTTTAAGTCTTGAAGATTTGCAGTTTTGCCCTAGAAATTTTTCCTATTTACAAAGAAGTTCATGCTCGTGTTTATTAGTTATAAATAAATTTTTGGATCATTGTTTAGACCTATCTTTTCAATATCTTTTGTTCAACTTTGTTCTTTACCTTGAACATTTTGGGAGATAATTGGAGAGAAAATATATGAATTCATTACTTGTAGAGAAAAGATTTCTAAACCTTATCTCTTTCATTGAATACATTTATGCAATTCTGTTCAATCATGTTGTTTGTTTCAATCTCCATGTTTGAATACTTGAGTAGTTTGCTTGTTAGGGTTAGGAAGTTTTAAAGGTTTATGATGAGTTATTAGATTGATTGAATTGTTAGGCTAAATCAATAAAGTTCTTCATGTGGATTGTTCTTACTGTTTATTCAAGATTCGCGACCTAGAATTCGATCTTAGGATTAGTTGACCGGAGAGTGTAATTGATTTCTTGAACTATATTAGGTGAGCAAAAAATACTATTTGCAAAGAGATTTTGTTTAGGAATTTTTGTGAACTAATCAAACTTGGAATTAATGCTTGTCTAGTTTTAAGAATTCGCAAAAAGATTTGGAATTCTAGATATTATGCATAGATAATCTTTGTAGCAAGAGTTGGTTGATTTTACCTTTTGTGATTTGTGTTCTCAAACTAGTTCTTCATTAAGTCCTAACAATTTATCTAATCTGCAATTCTGAATTTTCTGAAAATTTCCATGTGTCTAACACTTTTCTATCTGAATTTAAAACCGATTGTAATTTCTCAGATATTTTACTTTTCAATAAATTTTTGTTTAGCTTAATTTTAAAATCAATAATCTATTATATGATCGTGAGAGTTTTGTAAAATCCGACCTTTAAGCATTACAATGATTTTTATTTGGGAGAGTAGCTTGACACTAATTTTACGTTATCATATTGGTGAAGCTCTAATTTTGGTAAATAATTACAAACCCTCGCATTCCATAATGAAATCATTTTCTTTCAAATCATAATGTTTTCTCCATCCAATAACCATTATTTTACCAATAGTAGAAGAAAAAAAATTCAAATATTTACATAAAGATGTTTTTTTTTTTTCTTTTTCTTTTTGCTAGGAACTTCTTGTTACGCGTTATATATATATATCTCCCTGAAAGAATAATTCTTTTCTTTTCTTTTCTATTTTTTCTGGCTGAAACAAACTCTTTCAATATTTTTTTTCTATTGAAAACAAACTCTTTCGATTTACACAAACAAAAAAATCTAACACAACGAAAAAAAACTATCGACCAAAAGTGGTAGTTGTTGATCAGTGACCACGTCCTCTTCTGCTTGGTCCAGACGCTAACCGGTAAGCAAAGCTTTTCCCCAAAGGACGTTGACTCGTCGAGTTCTTCTTCACCTTCATGGTCGCCGAAGATTGATCATGTCCGTTAATATCTCTGAACGGCTTCAATCGTAGGGCTCTGCTATCAACTCTCTCAAACATTAATGATGAGAACACCAATAACAAGATCAGAAACAACACAAAAACATTATTCTTCTCCATTTTTTATAACTTTTTTTGTTTCTTTTACTAGCTGATCTTCCTCTCTCTCTTTATACTTGTTCTCTTTTTTCTTTGAGATTAAGAAGATTGGCTTCGTGATTTCTTTTGTATATATGCGATTTTGTGTGCGTGTGTAAGCGAAGGGCATTATTTCTTGACCAAGAATGTTTGACTATTTGATTTTGTGTATCGCGTTTTTACATATTTAATTGAAGTCTTCATGTTTTCAATCTTTTACTATTTATATATAAGACGTGTATTCATATTACAAGTCGAATGATGAGTTTCTCCAACTACCTGCTTCGACCACAAGATATGTTTGTTGAACTCTATGACTTTCATAAAAAGTTATAAAAGTCATTTGTTT